ATCCACAAAAGCCAAAACAGCTTTAGGGTAATACACGAGCTTCTATTTTTTATCTCAAGTTCATGTGCCCAGTGTAATAATTTTCAGTTTGCCTGAGGTTTAGCATTGAAACGAGTAATGTTTGTTTGATTGTTTGTTTATCATCGTATCAGTCTTCCAAATATAAGGCGATGGTGTATAAACTATCGAGTACGGACAAGACAATCAAGTGATTGACATCATGAGCATCGATCTACCTAGATGGGATACGATGGCATACATCAACGAAGTCACTGAGCCTCTTATGACAAGCACCCGTGAAGGTCCGGGTTAGAATTGGTCTTCAGCGACCCACAATTGCCGTAAGAAGTGACTAACGGGATAGGGTTGTCAGGCTCGCTGACGTGGTTGACACATGTAATCGTATCCCACTTGCGTAGATTGATGGTCATGATGTTGATCACTGGACTCCAGACTCGATTATTTACAGACCGCTGCCATATATATAGCTGGAATATTGCTGAGAGCGGCGTAAAACTAAACTCACTCACTCTTTCGTTTGCCCGGCTATATATTCCGACCTTAGGCACAACGCCTTTATAGTGCGATTCTGTTTCAATAGGACAACTGAAACAAAACGAATATATATATCTTGAATGTGTCGATTTCATTATTATTATTATCTTTTCAGGGGCGGATACAGCTTTTTGAGAAAGGGGGTGCACACTATTGAGAAAAGGAGGGGTGCACACTTCATTTCACCCGAGTTTCAATGGTCATATAATAATCTTTCAGGACAAAAAGGGGGGTGCGCACCCCTGCAACCCCCCTCTGGATCCGCCTATGCTTTTACTTTACTTCAAATGTGATACCGTACAAAACACTGTTGCATTTAAAACTATAAAGACATGTATATAAACGTTTGTTTGTTTGTTTGTTTGTTTGTTTAACGGCGCCCCCAGCAATGTTGCAACTGTTTGACGATGGTCTGTAAATAGTCGAGTCTGGACCAGACAATCCAGTGAGGAACATCATGACCATCGATCCACACAACTGGGATACCATGACATCCAAGCAAGCCCGACCACCCGATCCCGTTAGTCGCCTGACATGTATCGTAGTATACATAAACGTAGTGTAACATATTTGTAATGATAAGTTCATGTTATCTGTTGTCGGCAATTTTCTTTTTTCTACAAACTACATCAAAATTATTTTCTATTCTACACTGCTGTCGGCGTCGTACACGTTGATCCAATTGGTCCCACAAATGTTCAATTGGGTTAAGATCCGGAGATTTTGAAGGCCATGGAAGAACTGTAATGTTGTTGATGGCAAGGAAATCTGTTGTAATGCGTGCTGTATGCGGTCTTGCGTTGTCATGCTGGAAAATTTCTCTTCTAGCGTCAATTACGGGAATAACATGACGTACCAAGATTTCATCACGATAGCGCACAGCATTCAAATTCCCTTGGACATGCACCAGCTCTGTTCTGTCATTCACAGATATGCTTGCCCACATCATTACACCTTCGCCGCCGTGTCTGTCGACCTCACGAACACACTGTCGAGCATATATTTCATTTCGACGTCTGTAAATCCGCATCCTGCCATCATGTCGATACAGCAGAAACCGCGACTCGTCGCTGAACCAGATCCTCCTCCAGTTCATGAGGGTCCGTGGCCGAATGTTCCTGCTCCATTGAAGACGTACACGACGATGGTGGTGTCGCAGAACAGGTCCTTTATGTGGTCGCATCGGTCGGATTCCATGCTCTCTTAGGCGATTCCTGATGGTTTGTGCAGAGACTCGACGCAGCCCAGGAACATTGTCGGCGGTGTACGCTGCAGTGACGGTCCGATTTCGCAGATGATGAAACACCCGGATGAAGCGGTCTTGCGCTGGAGTTGTCACCCTTGGTCTCCCACTCCTAGGACGATCTCTGGTCGAGTTGTGCTGCGTGTAGCGCTGCCAGAGACGGGAAATCGTACTCTGCCTCACGTTTAGATGTCTGGCAACTGATGACTGGCTTTCTCCAGCTTCCAAGTGTCCAATGGCTCTATTTCTGCTTTCAGCGTTTAGTCGTGGCATCTTGAGGGTCGCATATACAGAATTTCGGAGAATGAATCGCAACAGGACTGCTGGCTTTTTATACCCATCAGTATCAAGATTCAGATCCCGTATTTGCACGTGCATCATGCTTTCAGATTTTTCTACATGCAGATTATATGGGGATTTTTTCAAGGTTGTGTTTGCGTGTGTTGGATAATTGTATGGGCTATATTCACACTTAATATTAACATTGACAGTCATTCCATGCCATATTTTTCGAAACAATCTACTTTGAAGATCAGAATTCAGCTATGCGTTTCTTTTTTGGGCCAGTGTACTTTTATTCCTTCACCATATGTATATAAAGCGTGAATTTGTGAGCGAGTGTGGCGTCCTTGTTTGATGTCTAAAATAACCTACGAAAAGAAAGTTTTTGTGCAGTGGGGCTCCTGCTACCTTGGGCATGAGCTCCTATTTGTAACAGGGACTTCTCAAATAAAAAAATAATTTAAAAAAAATAAAATCTGTAGAATGTCTGAGTTTGTCCCGGGATAAACAAGGTTTGATTCCCAACACATAAATTGCTTTCTTTACCGCCGTAATATTGCTGGACTTGTCGGAAGCGAGGTGCTGCCGTTTCACTGGATTTTCTGGTCCACCATCTTTGGATTTTCTGGTCCACTACGTGGTTACAATCCGGGTATGGTAGTCGGTTGTTCCGTGTGCCCTCATTAGGCCATCCGTATTTTACAATGTGTTCCTCGTCTCCATTCTCAACCAACAAGATTACGGATAAATTTAAATGAAATGAAATTAAACTAAATAGGTATTTTAATAATTGTTTAATGTATTTTTGTTTGTTTTATGAAATTGTAAAAGTTGGTAAGGGTATTAGTTTTCCAGATAAGCGCGTGAAGTCCATAGAAATGAAGCACTTGTTGTATTAGTCTGTTATACAGACCCTGAAACAAATATACCCAATGTAGCCCATGCAAGTCTAGAATGTGTGGCAAGTCTAGATTACCACAGTTTCTGAAAATATAAGTCCCTTGGCTCCTTCAATGTATTTTATTTTAAATTAAAACCTTTCTTCTGTAAAATAAGATCATTTCAGAGACTAGCTGTTAGTCTAGTGTTGCCTTCAAAGAAGGTGAGGTGAAATTGGGTTTAATGTCGTGCTTGAGAATATTTCGCTCATATGACGACGTGCATGCGTGTGTATGTGTGTGTGCGGCTGCTTGTACTAGCCCAGACTGAAGCTGGTTTTATAGTGCTAGCCCACTGAGATACCATGCCTCAGTGAAGCACGAATACCCCACTCAGACACATTATACTGACTCCGAGCCGACCAGTCCTTGTTGTACCCATTAATGCCGAGCGCCAGGCAGGAACCAACAAGTACCATATTTTAACGTCTTTTGGTATGACGCGGTCGGGGATCAAACCCGCGACCTTCCGCTCTCCAGGCGGACGCTCTAACCACTACACCACGGAGGCGGTCCTTCAAAGAAGGAGCTATAATACTTGGAATATCACTTTTCAGAGCTCGGCATCCGACTTACCAAAAGTGGGTTGCCACTTCAAATCGCTATTGACCTATCTTGAGATGTACACAACTACAAAATACAAACGCTCTCAGTCGACCCTTGCCTGAATTGTAACCACGTGTACAAACTCCGTGATGATGTTTATCGCTAGAAGAATGGACATTTCCTGAAAACCACACTTTACAATTTCATTTATTCAGCACTGCAAGCTTTATTCCTTATCGACAGAATGTTTTGTGTTCAGTTCATACGTACACAATTTCCTTCGTTAATAAATAAATACGATATTTCGCTATTTTATCTCAAGTTGCACGAATTAGATATATATATGTGATTACAGTGTAACACGTAAATGTCCGTGCTGTTTTCCAGATAATGCGTGCTGTTGACTGTTTTGATTGACAGCTGAACAAACCCAGTAATTGATTGCTATGTAGGGAGGTGCAATGTATAGCGTAATTTTATCAGGTCCATTTTCGCATCCTAGACGACGAAGGATGTTTGTCTTTAAATGGACACAGCACAGTCCCTAAAGTTTTAAATAGATAAGAATTGCGAAAATTTGGAAATGACAAATATGCCCCTCAAACAAATGCATTAGACGACATTTTGTTTCATAGTTTGGCGGCCATTGTATCCTAGCAACCGTCAGGCGTGTACGTTTCCGCACCCTTTAATGTAAACTAAAAGTTGTAAAATTTACATTTAAATGTAAAATTGATTTTTGTTCTTAATAAATCAAACATATACTTCCTCACTACGGATCAACCTTCACCCTGGATACCCCTGCGTGTACAATAGGCAGGTTTGGGAAACTCATTAATCGTTATTTTGGCCACTTCCTGCAAACGTTCACCATCCACGACACTCATTTCTACAAAACACACCTGAACGGAACTAATTCTTTGCCGTGACTTATCCGAACTGTTGTTAAACGTCTAAAACCTCTGTCACTTTCGGTGTTCCTCACAGGTGTATATCTTATTTCAATGTATGGTGGGGCGGTGGGGTAGCCTAGTGGTTAAAGCGTTGGCTCGTCACGCCGAAGACCCGGATTCGAATCCCCACATGGGTACATTGTGTGAAGCCCATTTCTGGTGTCCCCCGCCGTAATGTTGCTGGAATATTGCTAAAAGCGGCGTAAAACTAAACTCAGTCAGTCAGTCAATGTATGGTAGGCCTTTATAGAATGTGTAACATGACCACTCATAATCATTAATGTGTGTATTTTGTAAATTTATAGAATGAGAATTAACATGAGGTCTGCATGTACAGACGTAAAGGTGAAATCTTCATATATAAGTGTATAGTTTCTATTGCCTGTCAGTATCATTAATTACTGAGAAAGAAAAAAGGTTTTGTCGCACTCATGGGGCACCAAATTGCTCCATCACGGCCTCATGTCTATCTATCAGGACACCATGTCCATCTATCAGGACACCAGATCGCCCCATCAGAACACCATGTCACTCCATCAAGACACCATTGTACTCCATCAGGACACCATGTCTCCCCATCAGGACACCATATCTCCCCATCAGGACACCATGTCTCCCCATCAGGACACCATATCTCCCCATCAGGACACCATGTCACTCCATCAGGACACCATGTCTCCCCATCAGGACACCATGTCACTCCATCAGGACACCATGTCACTCCATCAGGACACCATGTCACTCCATCAGGACACCATGTCTCCCCATCAGGACACCATGTCACCCCATCAGGACACCATGTCACCCCATCAGGACACCATGTCACTCCATCAGGACACCATGTCTCCCCATCAGGACACCATGTCACTCCATCAGGACACCATGTCACTCCATCAGGACACCATGTCACCCCATCAGGACACCATGTCACTCCATCCACCATGTCATCAGGACACCATGTCACTCCATCAGGACACCATGTCACTCATCAGGACACCATGTCACCCATCAGGACACCATGTCACTCCATCAGGACACCATGTCACTCCATCGGCAGGACACCATGTCACTCCATCAGGACACCATGTCACTCCATCAGGACACCATGTCACTCCATCAGGACACCATGTCACACCATCAGGACACCATGTCACTCCATCAGGACCCAGCAGGACACCATGTCACCCCATCAGGACACCATGTCACACCATCAAGACACCATGCCACCCCATCAGGACACCATGTCACACCATAAAGACACCATGTCGTTCCACCAGGACACCATATCACGTTAAATCAGGGACGCGGTGGATGAACGGAGGTGACCCGAGTAGTACTGACCCTGACAGTGGAGGATCACAAGGACACAATGCAGCTAATTTCCACTCTATTAATAATGAACTACAGAATGCCAATCTACACGATGTACAGGCACTACAGATGTCACAACAACATGTGGCGCCAGGCATTGACTAACACCTTCGCTATCAGTACATCATCACTATAGGTGTGCCACAGGCTGCAATGAATAGTATATTAAAAAAAATACAGAGCCTTTAAAAGAAATTATGCGTTACCCCCTAAATTAGGATTACCGTAATAATTAACCGTATATATTTGTAGTACATCTCTTAGGGGTAAAGTTCAACATGGATTGTGAATGTTAGGTGTTACGCCGCTTGTAGCAATATTCCAGCAATATCATGGCGGAGCACATCGGATATGAGCTTCATACATTGTGCTCGTGTGGGAATCGAACCCGGGTCTTCGGGACAACGAACGAACGCTTTAACCACTACGCTACCCCTTCACCATGAACAGTGAGTGCTACGACATCAAAGCACACAGGTAGCTCAATGAAACGGGGCTTTGTCCTATGTTTAACCTTTTCAAACAGGTTAAGGTTCAATAATCAAAATGCAATATTTCTTGTTATGTCAAGCATCGTTTTAATTTGAACCCAGTCCCTTTTTTATGGCCGGCATGTATACGCGCACATTATAATCAATCTTTTACGATTTATTTTAATTTTGTAAGAAAAATTGTCTCTGCGGGAAAATCATCAAACCGAATTTAATTAATTGTAACAGCATTTCCGTCGTACATTGACTGCGTGAAGTCAACGCTTTCAACCGGGAGTAATTCATTTATCACTGCTTTAAACAGCATTTCAGTTACTAGTATATCATGGACTGACGGCTTATGTATGAGGAACGTCTGTAGTGATGCAGCTTTGAACATTTCCCACTTGTGAAATCTACAAGCACGGGTATATTATTGCCAAACCTAGAGACACCACTGCTGTGGTCTGATCTATTCACCGTGTATGCTTGTATTACAGCTGACTATGGCTTACTACATACATGCGCTCGTGTCATGTTATTGGTTTGATTACAAGTCCACTATTATAATCCTAAGCTTAATCTCTGGCATTGATCAGCTGTATTGATTTGCCGGACCCATCCTCGATGTTCAGGGATACAGCATCTCCATTCTAGATTCACCGCACGTATGAGCAAGAACCAACGCTGAAACGTTGTGACAAAGAATAGAAGTACATGTAGTTGTTATTCATAAATGGAGTCATGTATCCATATACCCGCTTGGTTGAGGTTTGAAATGAGAACGACCCGTGAAGGTCCGGGTTAGAACTGGTCTTCAGTAACCCATGCTTGGTGACTAACGGGATCGGGTGGCCAGGCTTGCTGACTTGGTTGACACATGTCATCGTATCCCAATTACGTAGACTGATGTTCATATGCATGCTTTTGATCACTGGATTTTCTGGTCCATACTCGATTATTTACAGTCCGCCGTCCTGTAGCTGGAATATTGCTGAGTGCGGCGTTAAACAACAAACCAACCAACCAACATGTATTCATATCTACGTGGGGCGGTGGGGTAGTCTGTGGTTAAAGCGTTGGCTCGTCACGCCGAAGACCCGGGTTCGAATCCCCACATGGGTACAATGAGTGAAGCCCATTTCTGGTGTCCCCCACCGTGATATTGCTGGAATATTGCCAAAAGCGGCGTAAAACCAAACTCAGTCAGTCAGTCATATCTACGTTCTCTTATATAAATACACGTCGCTGTACATTAAGGTGCATCAACCGTACCACTTCCCACAACAGCCATTACAGTCATCTCGTTCTTATCGCCTTTGAGTTTTATTTCACATTTATCCTGATCCACGAAAATCAATGTTGTAGTTTGGCAGAAATCTTTACTCATGTCAACAATTGCTTGATAATTTAGATAAAACATATTAAAATCATCTCTGCGTTTTATGATCGATTGTAGTAGGTATTGTGTCTCTACTATGTATCAGTATACATAACGTTTTCCCAGTAACCGCTCTGTAATCAGGAATTATATCCCTGTAATTAATCGATATATTTCGTTCTTATTAATTATGCAAGACATTGTAATAACAACAGGCTCAATTACCTGAATTATTTACACATACCTGACTATACAGCAAAGATCACAATATAAAAATAAACGTGCGTAATTGTTCATGAATTTTTAAAAATAAAATTTTATGATATTTTATGGTAGCCCGTGGGCAGAATCAATGGTGGCATGTGTGCTAGCGTTTGTCCCGAAGCGCCACTTCCTACAGTTTGTATGCCGAGTCATGTTCAGAAAATGTTAAACACTTGAACTGTGGGTCAACGCGACAGCCGATTTATTAAGCTTGACAGTAACTAATTAACGCATTGTTAGGCCAAGCCAAGATACCTGTGTTTCCTGTGACACAATCGAACCACAGTTTCACTTGTGTTACTGCCATGTCAGTAATTAATCGCCATGGGAACAGATGAAACATATATCTAAAATTCTGAATTCATAATATTCATACCTCTCATTACAATCTTATTATTAACAGGAACGTGCATAGCAAAAGCTTTTGAAACAATACTACTTTTAATATCAACGTGCATAACAATATCTTGTGAAACAATACTACTTTTAATATCAACGTGCATAACAATATCTTGTGAAACAATACTACTTTTAATATCAACGTGCATACAAATCTGGCTTGTGAAACAATCGTTCTAGTAATATCAAAGTGCATACCAAAAGCCTCGCAAACTCGTATACTGACGACTGCAAAACTGTCTTGCCATCTCTTCTTCCTTGGTCTGGATACTACCCTGGTCTTATCTGTAGCAGGGTATCTTAAATAAAATAACAATATTACATACATAAAGCAAAATATTTGTAAATAAATAAGAAAATATACATATGGGGGTATAACAATATACGGATGAAGAACTTCTTTATTGCTGTGAGAGCGACGTTTCGGTCCATATATTGTTATCCTTCCTTACTGCTCCAACTTCTACATGTATATGCCTCTCAAAGAAGTTACATATACATAAGTTAAGGGCGTGTTACCAGAAACATTTCCTACGTAATGTCATATTTTCATTAACGGCAATGTCAATCAGTGTATCTGTGAACTGCGTAATTTGATTACATTGATTGACAAAGTAACAGTAAACGTATAGGCATCATGTACACATACACGCACAAGATTGCGTCGCGGGGGCACACGGGTCATAATATTGTGACTGCGAGTGGAATTAATTAGGGCGCTGACGGACATTGAGAGGTTGACAGTACGACACGACATGGCAGATTACGAAATATAACATGTGTATTAGTTCTCTACATCCTGTCGTTTGAAGCGGCACAGTTAGCTGCCCGGGTTGTGCTCCATAGCAGTGCTAGTTCGAAGCTCAATATTATGCAAAGAATATCGTTGTTCTAGTCTGTCTCACAGTCCCTGAACCATATTATTTTCCCTACAGCCTTGCCCTCCCTCCAATGCTAAAGCCCTAAATGAAGCAAGTTTAGATTTCCCCAGGTGTGAATCTCTGATCTCCCTGGGGCTCCTTTCCAACTTAAACGGGTTTTTTTTGTTACAATAAAAGTTATATATATTCAGAGACTAAGCGTTAGTCTAGCGTTGTTCCTGCAGAGAAGAACATGTATTTTTGAAGCTGACTAAATAAAATCGAAACAAATGAGGATGACGTGTGAATGGACTGTGGGTGCCATAGCACTGTCACAACGTGGATTGGCGATCCTATTATACTGTCAGGGGGCGGTGGGGTAGTCTAGTGGTTAAAGCGTTGGCTCGTCACGCCGAAGACCCGGGTTCGAATCCCCACATGGGTACAATGTGTGAAGCCCATTTCTGGTGTCCCCCGCCGTAATGTTGCTGGAATATTGCTAAAAGCGGCGTAAAACCATACTCAGTCAGTCCTACTGTCAACCACCACTGCACTAGTACTGTTTGTATGTTGTTAATGCTGTCCTCAGCAATATTCAAGCTGTGTGCTGGCTAAGTGAGCCGTGACCTTCACACACAACTGAAATAATGGTCTCTCTCACTCTCTAACCCAACACACACACGCCAACACTGACGTCCCCCACCCGCACCCACAACACACAAGCACGCACGCACGCACGCACGCACGCACACACACGTCTGTTTCTCGAACGTATCAAGGGTCGCTTTTTCATGGCATGTGACTTATAAAACAAACCCGTGAAGATCTGGCATAGAACTTATCGTCAGCTGGATGCTCATGCTGTTGATCACTAGACTGTCTTGTCCATACTCGATTATTTACAGACCCCTCCAGAAAGTCTGAATAGTGCTGAGCGCTGCGTTAAACAACAAACAAACATACATACATATAAACACATGAACAGAACGCAACTACACCTGAGTTCCGGGTTAGAATAGGTCTTCAGCAACCCATGCTTGTCGTAAGAGGCGACTAACGGGATCGGGTGGTCAGGCTCGCTGACTTGGTTGACACATGTCATCGTACATACCAACTGCGTAGATTGATGCTCATGCTGTTGATCACTGTATTGTCTGGTCCAGACTCGATTATTTACAGACCGCCACCATATACTAGTAGCTGGAATATTGCTGAGTGCGGCGTAAAACTCAGCTCATGCACTCACTCATAACGTAACTGCATATGTTGTATAACATTCCGAGCTCATCACACAGTCGACTGCAACAATACTTATGCAATCCGCATACTTCTATAACCTCGTAGCGACCATTCATCCATGAAGATATGTCATACACTAAATACAAGGCATTGCATAATGGATACGGAACATCGTATTGGAAACTGTAGGCTGCTCACAACGCCCTAACAAGCACTACCATTGTCACTGACAGGTCGTTTCGCAAGGACAGATCTCAGTAAAAATTATCATATTCAAAAACATGCCATCTGTTTCCGGTCCAGCCCGTTACCATAGCAGTATTGTGTCCGTAGCTAACACAGAATAAACAGACTGGCGCAATGAAGGTTTTTTACAGTTTGTAGTTGATATTTAATATCCACATGATCCAAGGTGAAGTAGTGTATAAACATCATGGAAAGTTCACGTCCTCCAAACCACTGTTTGTGAAGCAACGAGACAGTAATTTGACT